AAAACAGCCCTGGGGACACCGAAATCATCCTGGGACCCCAAAAATCAGCCCTGAGACCCCAAAATTATCCCAAAAATTAGCCTGGGACCCCAAAATTACCCCCTAAACAGCCCTGAGGACATCAAAAGCATCCTGGGACCCCAAAAAACAGCCTTGGGACCCCAAAAATCCCCCCCCGGGACCCCCAAACCCCAAATTTCTCCCCCCACAATCGCCCCCGGGGGCTCTTTCTCCCCACGAGCAGCCCCGGGGGCCCCCCCACCCCCAAATTTTGGGGTCCCCCCCTGACCGGGAATTTTGGGGGCCAGCGGGGGGACTCGGTGGTGCTGGAGAACGTCAGCCCCGAGGGGGGGGAGCTGCCGGGGAGCCTCGGGCGCCTCATGAACCCCGGTGAGGGGGACCCCAAAAATGGGGGGTGGTCCTGGTTTGGGCGGGGGGCCGGGGGTGGATCCCAAATTTGGGGGGAAATCCTGATTTCGGGAGGTTTGGATCCTGATTTTGGGGGCGGAATCAGAATTTTGGGGGGTTTGATCCCAATTTTCGGGGGGGAAATCCTGATTTTGGGGGGGTTTGATACCAATTCTGGGGGGAAATCCCGATTTTTTGGGGGGAACCCAAACCTAAACCCCAATTTTGGGCTAGAAAACCCCATTTTTTTTGCTTTTTTCCTCCGATTTTTACTCTTTTTCCCCATTTTTTTCTCTCTTTCTCCCCAAATTTCTGCCCCCCCGGATTTTGGGGGTGTCCCAGGCCACGCCCTGGAGGCGGCCTGGCTGCTGCTGGAGTTCTCGGGGCGCCGGGGGGACGCGGATTTGGGGGCTCGGGCGGTGGCAGCGCTGGTGGAGGGACCCCTAAAATGGGGCTGGGACCCCCAGCACGGGGGGATCTTCACCTTCCTGGACGCTGACGGGCACTGCCCCACACAGGTAACCCCAAAAATCCCACCTGGGGAGCTCCGAAATCCACAAAAATCCCCAAAAAATCCCACCTGGGACACCCAAAATTCACCCAAATCCCACCTGGGACACCCAAAATTCACCAAAATTCTACCTGGGAACCCCCAAAATTCACTCAATATTCAAAAATCCGTTTTTTTTCCCAAATTCCCATTTTTTCCTCCCAAACCCCACCTGGAGTGGTCCATGAAACTCTGCAGGCCCCATTTCCCCCCAAATTTTCTCAGTTTAAGCCCATTTTTAACCCATTTAAACTCATTTTTAACCCATTTTATCTCGAATTTTCACTTTTTTCCCCCGTTTTTTTCCCAAATTCCCATTTTTTCCCCCAAACCTGCAGCTGGAGTGGTCCATGAAGCTCTGGTGGCCCCACGCCGAGGCCATGGTTGCCCTTTTGGCCGCCCAGCTCTTCCAGCCCCGGCCCAGTTTGATCTCCCAGTTCCTGCAGCTGGCCCAGTTCACCTTCGACAGGGTGGGGGAGGGGATTTTGGGGAAAATTTGGGGTTTGGGGGATATTGGGGGGATGCTTGGGGGTCCCTGGGGAGGGAAGTTGGGGGATTTGAGGGGGAATTTGGGGGAGAATTTGGGTTTTTTGGGGGGTAAAGGAGGAATTTGGAGGGGTCCTGGGAGGA